CAAGAGCAGGCGTCTGTACATCGGCAATATCCCGTTCCAGGCCGGACTCACGGACGTCGCCATTACGCAGCTGTTTTCCGCGCTGTACGTCGCCGCCTTCCGCCCAAACGTCCCCGGAGAGTGTCTGCCCGTCGTGTCGTTCTGGCTGCATAGTGACGGGAAGTTCGGCTTCATGGAGCTCCGCGGGGAGCAGGAGGCGGTTAACATGATGCAGTTTAATGGCCTGTTTTTACACGGCCGCCCGTTGAGGGTTAACCGCCCCTCGGATTACAAACCCGAGTTGCACAACCCGGCCGCTCTCACCCTGGTACCGCAGAGCGTTAACGCCCGCCCGGTCGTTGAGCTGTGCAACCAGCTCGGCGGCGTGGTGGCCCCGCCGCCCCAGCTCGCTGCCGTGGCCGCTGCACAGGACCCCCACCCGGAGGCGCTCGCGCCGCAGGGGATCTCGCCGCCGCGCGCGTCGGGCTATCCGGCGCCGCTCCGATCGCAGACGCAGGCTGTCACGCCACTGCGCGGTCCTGATCAAGGCGCCTTGCACCGCGAGCAAGGACCTAAGCCGTCATCGGCTAGGGTTGTGTCGCTACGCAATCTCGTCACGGATGACGATCTCGAGGGGAATGACGAAGACTATCAAGAGATCGTGGCCGATGTGCAGACCGAGTGTTCGAACTATGGCCGGGTGTTGAGTGTCAAGATTCCCAGATCGGGTCCGTGGAAGGGGACTGCGTTTGTCGAATTCAGCGACGAGATGCAAGCCAAGCGCGCGCTTGAAGCGTTGGGGAAGACAGTTTTTGATGGACGCAAGATTGTCGCCGTTATTGTTCATGGATGCGAAACTGCTGCCGAAGCTGCAAGCAGGGCGCCTCCCTCTTGAGCAGCTGATATGCAACCTTGCGCGCACCTCCTGATTCACCCCCCACCTCCCCCGAATACACAATTGCCCCCCTGTTTCTGGGAAGCGAGCGAGATTGAGGGATTTAAGACGACGCCTGACTTGTTTTTCCGTTCGTCTTCCTCTCATTTTCGTATGTGAATATTGCCACGAATGCGCAAAAGAAAACAAAAGCCAAGCAAACAGGATGACAATAACAAGGACAAAGAACGATTACCGACACAGATCAAGGTTGGTTTACTTATGTTCAAACCCTGGTAGCTGAGTAAGTCATACCATCTGGTAATTTGCGGAACCTGAATGGTTTTCTCGAACACGTGATACAGTTGTGTATCTTTCGTCTTGCTTCTTTGATGTCCCAGGCAAGTTGCGGGTTTCCTTCTACATACTCTTTGACGATTTCGTCGAAGGGTGCTTGATTATTGTGTTTCCAGATAATGTTTGCAATTTGCAGCGCAAGCTTTTCTCCTGCGTCGGAGCCAGTTGCGGCGTGGTGTTCTGCGTTTTTTAGGGCGTTGCGATCGTTTGAGCTGTGTTTCTTTTTTCTCTTCTTTGAAATAGACTTATCGCCGAAATTGGTAGCGCCTGGTTTGCTAGGTCCTTGAACTGGATCACCAGGAAGTAAGTTTCTGTTTGGATGCATCTGGTTGAGAAGCTTTTGGAATCTCCCCTTGCCTCTCTTACCACCTTTTTCCATCATGGATTCCAGATATTTGATCTCCACATGGTCATCGTTTATCTTCTTAGCGCGACGTGCTGCTTGGCTGCTGAGCTCTGCCTGGCTCTTTCTCATGATTTCCCTGTAACGTCGGAACAAGCGTTCAACAACAGTTTGTTCGCACGGCGATTCACGAAAGCACGAAAATTAGTATGTTAGAGCGGTTTGAGAATGCGATTATCAAAACATATACGAATAGGATGGCATACCGCTTCGCGTTTGTGTTGTCGGCAACGAGATTGCGAAGATGCCAATGTCCCTGTCGTATCGCACCGTCATAAAGATTGTTTCGGCAGTGTCGCGTTAGTAGCTGTTAAAGTAAACATATTGTCATGCAATGCAGTTGCAAAAAACGGGCGCACTACGCAATCAATGGTGACGCGTACCAGTCGCAAATTGGTGAGGACTTGATCCGTAGCCTCTGGGTCTATGAGCTGGCGTTGTTGCAGCTCAATTTTGACTCGCTCTTCGAGCACGTCGTCAAACTCGCGGACGGTCTGCGGTGTGCTGCCACCAATCCATGCATCTTCCTCGACAAAGGCCGAGCGGCCAGGCTTTGTAGCGTTTGCATGTCGGCCCTTCCCTTCGTCAATCATGGCGGCCATGAGGCGTCGGGCAAGCGGATAGTTCTGCATGCGGGCAAACACGGCGTCCTGCGCGGATAAACCGTCGTCCTTGATATCTGCCGAGTTCAAGGCGGGGACGGGCTTGGTCTCAACATGCGTTGGATCCAGTTGAGTTACATCGTGCTCGTTTATAGGCTTGAAAAACTAGGCGACGTGGCAAAAGAGGAGATGTCGGACACGGGAAGTGCGTTGAAAAGCGTAGTCGCAGCACACATGACGCAGTGATTCGTGGAGATGGGTTAGTGGGGTGAAGGTAAGCGGAGATGCGGGGATGGGAATGCAATTTTGGGGAAAATAATCGGGGCAATTGGTGTGGAATAAGGCGGTCTAAAGAGCGATGCGATTTTCGCAGCACCGCGTGGAAGGAGGCTCAAGGTCGAAGGGTATCGGCTGGCGGGCGGCGGGCGCGAAGCAGGGCGTGCGGGGGCGGGGCATGTCAAACGCACCGGCTCGATGTGATACCAGAAGAAGTCGTGGGTGTTGTGCATGAGGGGGTCGTGGCCGCCCTTGGCGACGAAGGTGTCCTTGGGCAGGGCGGGCGGCTGCGGCTTCATGGCGGGGGGCGGGTGTTCGCGGGGCGCTTGGTCGTGCGCGCGGCGCGGCCGCGCGCGGGCGTGCGTGAGGCGGCAGTGGACGCGGGCGGCGGGCGGACGGGACTCGCGCGGGTGGGACGGCGGGGAGTCGAAAACGGGGGTTCAGGGCGGGCGCGACGGATGGCGGTGCCCGGGGAGGGGGGGCGCAATGCGCAAAGTGGAGAGCAAGGAGCACGCGCGGGCATTTTTTGGGTTTTGTGGATTTCGCATTGTTTTTTGGGGCGGCGACGTGTCGTTGAGGTGAAATTTTGCAAATGGGATTTGGAAATGGGATTTGGAAATTGGGCGACAAAAGGATACGTGACGCGTGGAGGGGGACGCGGATGCCCGAAGAGAACAGTAATGTTACAGTCACCGTCCCAGCGTACAAGAAGATGAGTTGTTGCTCATACGCCGCCGACCTTTTTAGAGCGTACTACGCTCTACGGTATGGACAAGCCCCTAC